AAGAGGACGAGGTGAGTTGCTCGAGGAGGAGGAGATGAAGGGCTGGGAATGTTTCGGGTTTAATTTTGTGGGAGGTAGAATTGTTTTTTTTCGGTAATGGAAGCTCGCCAGCGTTACGTAGCTCATTCGTATAGGCACTGTTTTTGTTTGTTGACATAGGATGTTGTTTTGTGGTTCTTACCCTTTTAAACCGATAGTGGGTGATAATTAGTTATTTTCGATGACTATTCCATATTTTTATATTTTGATCTTGTATACACAGTTATAATGCCTCGCTCTCTGGTTTCCTGACTAGGATGCTGTCTGGGTGCCAGAAGCCATAGACGACACCCTGTGACCATAAACTTGCCTTGTAGGTAATTGTTTGTGGAGTGACCATATCCCTCTGAGGCTAAGTCCCTATGACTCCAGTAAATAACTGTCAGGGCACTCCTGGGAATCCACAAACATTGCTGTATGAACAAAAAAAAATGTGGTTAATGTTATTGAGAGTGACGCACAGAAATACAGGGAAATGGATACTGCCATCTTATAGAACGTAAGAAGAGTCTTAGGCCCGTACATTTAAAACCTTTCACCAGGGGTGGCATTCAATTTCGCTGGGCTGTCAGGGTTTGTCTTGTGAGGGGGTGATCAGATCGGCCTGGTTAACAGTGAAACACCAGAGGAAACATAAGGGAGGAATATATTGAGAGTCACTATTTACACAATATACAGCACATAGAGGAGGCAGGAAATTACAGGCACGGGAGAAGTGGAGCAGGTGATGTCACAGGAGCACTGAAGTCTTTCCAGAACTCACAATTTTTTTGAGAGTCGTGCCTTTTATGTGCCTTTTATCTGGAGCCATCGGTGTTAAGGCATGACACCCTTGTTCCTCACAAGTTGAACTGACCAATCGCGGGTGACCTCATCCCGCCTAAGGCCCCTCTCCGGCTTCGATAAACATTGCCGAAGATCCTAAGTGATGAAACTCAAGACGCAGTGTAGCGGCTCAGGAAACTGATGGCGACCGATCAAGGCGATCTCGCAGTTGTGACACAGGCGATCGGGAATTACACCAGGGCTGGTGTACAGTCGTATGGAACAGCAAGACGAATCAAAGTCATGAGAGCCCTCCCTTTCCCGTGATTGAATAGCACTTTCTTGCTTTCAGATTACAAATCAGTAACATATATGTGTATAATATGATAATGGAATCACATTGTAATTTTATAATCTCTGAAAATTACAATTTATTATGAAATAACATATATATGTACAGGGCGGCAGCGCTATTCCTGCCGCCCTGGAGATAAGTTATTTTGATTTAACTTTTTATTATTTTGGTTGTAGGGATAACTTTCTTTCACAAATCTTACCAAAAGTGTTTTGATGATGGTATGTTACTATGGTCTATAAAAACATAGCTGTTATGCTCCACTGCTCTCCAATGAGGCATGTCTAATGATACCCTTGCAGGCCTACAGTTCAATATTTTATATCAGTTTAGTATCGTAAATTGGTTAATTTTAACTCCTTGTTAAAGTAATAAGTTAATTTTGTATAAAGTTGCTATAGTATAGTATATAGCATAAAGTTAACTTTTTATAGTATAAAGTATAAAGTTAACTTTGTTATAGTGTAAAGTTAATTTTTAAGTACTTTTTTATAGTATAAGGTGAGACTATTACAGAGATAACACTTTCATCTTGTCCCGAGGTTAATAATTAAGTTTAGGTTATGTAAGGTAAGGTAAGGTAAGGTAGGGTTAGGTTAGGAATTAACACAGCCTCTATATGGTTCTTTATGAGGACCGAAGGAATTTTTTTTTTTTTATCCAAATGGATATAGGAGAGGACTGACAAACTTTCGTGCTGATTGCCATGGTGATGCTGTGCACTGCAGATGTAAACCCATTTGCGTTTACCATGTTTTTTCAGTCACTGAAGCACTAGATTTAGGAGGAATACAAGATGTTAGGGCCTCGTGATCGCTTTCATTCACCAGGCCTGTCGATTGCCTGCCTTGGTGAACATTGGGTTTTTAAGTAAGGCCTCCCTCACTCAGAGGATTGCCTGGTATAGGATCGCCAGGCAAACGCCAGCATGGGCGAAAGGTTTTAAAAGTACGGGCCTAAAACAACACAGGTACAACTGCTGCAGCTTTATATTTATCATGAAGTGATGAAAATATCTGCTGCACATCCCAACTCAGAGACAACACCCTCACAGCCAGAGTTCCTAATGTTATGTTTTCTATAAGTTGGACAAAGAGCCAATAAAGGGGGTATAGGGCTTGCTCCCTGTCTAAGGAATAAGTAGAGGTCGGAAATGTTAGGTTTGGATTTTTGTGTTTGCATGGTACCCTGGGTTTAGGACTTTGTCGATTGAGAGTGTGTTGCTCTTGGTAACAAAAACGAAAACAGTAAATTTTTAAGTTATAATAGTAATTTTTCATAATACCTGATTGTGACAATATTGGTATCAATTAATTATTCTCACTCTGCTGCCCCAACTCCCGTAATGGAAGACAAAAAAATCATGTATTCACACCAGGGTAGAGCATACGCCCGATGAGGAGAATTCTTTGTTTTCCTAAGCGGGGGTTAGAGAGCAGTCACCCCCCATGGTGTGATTGCAGGGGGCATAGCCCCCAGCATTATACAATATAATGACTGATAGTGTGTTTATTATTAATATTTTACTCTGCATCTTTCATGCCCGCCCTACTGTGGGGACCAAGAATATGGTGTTTTGGGGGTTTCTGTAGCTTAATCCTTTACATACATATACTAGAGGGTGAGGAATCCATTGATAACAAAATCATTGTGATCATTTATCAAAGGTATTGTAAGAATTACTGTTATAACAATTGGTCCTTCCCAGACATTATATATAAACAATATATATATATATATGATCATTTTTATTCTGGTGTGATGAGAAGAAATCTGATGATAACTTCTGTTGCAATCAGAGCCGTCATTCTCAGCATGATAGTCTCTATAGCAGGGAAATATACCAAAGATGTTATTGGGTAAAACCGGCTGAGGCAGAAAAAATATAGAACAAAAGTGTGTAAAAGCACAAAAAAAATTAGTCTGTGCTCTTTGAAACCAGTGTGTCAACTTTTGAAAAACTTTACAGGCATCTTACCAAGCATTCTACAGGAATGCACACCATCCAAATATGTCTCAACTAATAACTCAACCTAGCTGTCTAGTCAGAGGGCTCTACCCTGGATCCCAGGTGAATGACCAGAAAGGATGGGGATACAATTTTGCTACATCAAATGAAAACTCAACATTTCCCTGGTAAATTACTTTTTCCTGCATTTTTATTTTTATTTTATTTTTATTTTTTAGAAATTTGAACCATGCATCAATTTTGATGCATTCTATGGCATTCAAATGGTATTCTAAGTTGTGGCTGGTACTGTTCCCGCCTTTTGCAAGGTATTAATCGCTCAAAGGAGGGTATCAAGAGACACCACCTCCCTCATTGTAGCCAGGTTAGCTCCCTAGAAAGCCCCAGCAGATAGTCGGAGCTCCAGGTCAGCTTTTTCTTTCCCTTTTTCTTCTTTGCTGTCCCTTTTCGATCTGTCTCCTGGTCTTGCTTTTCAAGTGCTTTTGAAATGATGTCATTGGTACCAAGCAAATACACAAGATGGCTTTTCCTACAGAAGTTATGATCTAGTACTGTCGCCCTTGTGACGAATAGCACTCGGAAGCAACTGGCATACTTGGCCTTTGAGCACTTTAGCCAAATCTTTGAATGAGACTTTCATTGGGATTTTGTGTTGCCCCCTTCAGACATCTTCGGGGTAGAGAGATCTCGGTAGACAGATTTGATGAGGTCCAGATTTCCTGAAGGGATTTTACCTAGGTAAAGGGATTTCCTTTGTGGCTAATAGGTGTGATGTTTTCAGCTAGTACTCTATTGAAAAAGCACCAGCTGTCTACACCACATGGGCAAAAGTGATGTGCTGGCTTGTCATCACTTGACGTCAGGTGGAAGAACATTGCCCACACAGACTTTCTCATAGTCTCATAGTCAGTGCCCACATTGTCACGGATTGCTTCCCATAATATGACCCGAGAAGATCAATGACCTTATCCGTCAACATGTGGGCACCTCCTAACAAGCTCCTCCTCATTCTCTTGCCAGTTTTGGTTGTGACTGTTTCACTTACATCCTTCTTGACATTGCGCAGTCTGATCCTCATCTTTTGCTTACATGATTTATGCACTCCTTGATAACGGGGTCTTTGTACGGTCCTTTGCCGTTGTTTAGCTGGCATACTGCTTTGTATGCACTCAAGTCCCCGTCACCTACGAAGGTTTTGTATATAATTTTGAGGTCTAAGGATCGGGACCAGATTTGCAATGCTGCCTCTCCCTCCATTGCACCCAACTTACCTTCAAAGTTTTTATGGCAGACATGTTTGCTGGGTGCTTTACTGCTCCCCGCCTTATAATTAGGGCAATGATTGCAAAGGACCTCTAGGTCTAGAACAGTCCCTGTATGCACATCTATCATAAGCCGATGCTATGTGTGACCTGTGGCCTCTGGTCATCCACGACCCGTTGAAAGAATCGATGCAGATGTTACCATTGGCATCTTGCTGTAATAAACCTTTGTCTAGATAAAAAAGCCTCACTTTCTCTACTGTGCTAAACCACTTCCCCATCTCTCTGTACAGGTAAGAGCAGTGCTTTATGTAAGCACCAGCAGAGAGACTGCCACTCGAGAAATATGGGGGACTGTTTTTTAATCCAGCACTTCCCACACCTGTAATAAGACTGATAGATCTGGATTATATTAGATACAGTCATATTTTCATGGATAATGGGAGGAGTGTCACAGAGGGTTTTATCACACCTGTCACAAACTAACCTCACATGGTTTTTGAAATACAGCCTTGTCATCACAGGTTTTATAATGCCTTTTCAGTGCCTCATGGGGCATTTCACACTACAAAACTGCTGCTGCAGCTGTGATTGTGATAATAAATTCAACATGACGGCCCCCTTAATCCACTCACACCGGAATATTCTGAGGCCGAAAATAAAAGTTTCTGGGCAGCTACAAAATTTGGCGCACAGGGCTGGCCTGGACTCTCCTTGTACGCCAACCGTGGGATGCTGCTGAGTTGGAGCGTGAGCCCGATACAGTGTCACACTGGCGGGTTCCCTGGCAATTTTTTTTTCTGGGCATCCCATATGGGACACCCATCGTAAATGGGTAAAAACCACTGAATTAGGTAATGGTTTTGGAGCTGTTCAGAATGAGACCCATTGAGGTGATACTATAGTTTTCATGCTGACACAAGCAAAAGCAATTAAACCTTGCCATTGTATATTTAGGAGAGCTTGGACTGATCCCTTTTCCGAGGGGAAGTAAGAATGGAAGTCAGCCAACTCTTATCTTGCGAGATGAAGTTTTTTTTTGTAATTTTGTTGGTAGGGTGGAAACTGGATGCTATAGAAGCATAGGTTTGCAGAGTTTTAAATATATTCCTTTGGTCAGTAGCAGCATTTTTCAATTTTGAATTTTACATTTTAATCTTTAATTATGGGAAAGTACAAGATGCACACTTGATAGAGACTGAAGTATAAATAATTGTTTGGAACAATTAAGGCATCTAATGATGTTGATAAACCTCCTACAAACTGCAGTTTGGTAATACATATGTGATTAACTACAGAACCAGTATCACAACTTGTTTTTTGCAAATAACTAATATTTTTTCCTTTACCTGCCTCTGTACTATACCAAGTACCCACTCTGAATTATTATAATTTTGATGGATATGTGTAAAAAAAACTCATCTAGAATGGTTCTCTCAAGAGTAACACCTTTTAGTCTACCTTACCTGATTTTTTTTGTTTTTTTGAAAGTTTTATATAAATTGTGAAAATTTTGGTGTTTTTTATATGAGAAAGAACAAAATGACGAGAAACAAGTACTTTTATTAATAAAGAAGTGAACGTGTATCAAATGAAAATTCAAGAAAAGCAGGTGGCCCTATGCCATGAAACTTTATTAATTCAAGTTTGACCTCTTTTATTTTTGAATGAATCTGATCTTAATGTGCTTCAATATTGAATAGGCATCTTATATTTAGACATGTGATGTTTTCAGTGTCCTTATGTCCTAGATATTAAACCACAAATTCCAAAGATGCCATTCATTTTGATGTGCAAATTTAATTATAGTTGAGAGAAGCACATGTTGTACATAAAAGGGCACATTTTTAACATTTACAGGCTTTCCCATTTGTGAAATGAATTATTTACTAGATCTGTTACAGATATTTTGGAAAAAATGTTGTAGTACATGAAAAGGGTGACGGTGACCTACAGATATGAATTTTAGTCTTACTACAATATTGTCTGTAACTATGTCTTCTGAATGATTTACAGGAAATTAATTCATAAACATTTTGTTATATTGAATCACTAACAACTTTGCTATTTATAAACTATGCAACTGACATTGCTACCCAATAGTATTTCTCAGGAATAGGTTAACTAAGTGAACCATGATATTAGATACAGTTTTGTTTGGTGAAAGGGTTAAGATATAGTTCACTTTAGCAATGGTCTGTTTTCCAGGATTTGACGAAAGCTTTGCTGAAAGAGTATGGGGCCTCACAGAAATGTTCCCAGAACGTCTCCGCACGGGCAGCGCCAATGCAGTTTCATCCTCTGTCAGATTAGTGAAAGGTAAGTTGAGTATTTACATTCTATTTTTTTTTTTTTCTCTCTCTCTCTTTGAATTATAAGGAAGAGTAAAATATATGTTTATGTAAAGAAAAAAAGCAAAATAGTAGTCAGACTGAGATTTTTTTTTCTCTAAGATACATATTGTTCCTTTTAATTCACTTATTGATCAGCTGTTGCTACTGACAAGCCAAGTATATTTTTCTTGTATTATGTAACATACATATGTGTAATTAAAATGAAGTGATGAAATGGGAGAGAGAAATGAGAAGCTCAAGTGCACTAGTTGAGGATTAGTAATCAAACTGACAATTGTAAACCAGTCAGAACCTTGTTATAGTGATGAATCCTACTCGGATCCTCGTTACTTCCTTCTCCAGCTTTAGCAGTCATTTGACCAATCTTTCAGTTACCTGCAGAGGTGACCTTCTTTGCCATAAGGATGTGATTGCCGAGTGTAAATGTCATTTTGCTGACATACCTTCAGAACCTTGTTAACGTGAATCTCGCATGACTCCCTCCCTAGCAAATCATAGTTAGGTACATCAGAGGTTGTGGTTAGTGACGGGGTTAACAAGGGATTTATATTGTGACAAATTCACTGGATAGATCAGATGTAAACACCTATAACAGTATGGCATAGGAAGAGCATAGACACATTCAGGTGCAGATGAATCTGAGCATAGAAGGTATGCTCTCTGCCATAGACTAATTGTACTTTGTTGATTAGAAGTGAGAAAAAAAATCTTAGTGTAATATTGAAGCACTGTAATTTAGATATTTCATATTTCAGAATAAATAACCAGTAATTATCATCTTGTAGGTGGCCATATTCTCCCAAGAGTTAAAAGCTGAGGATATGAGATAGGAAATAGGGTGTTGGGTATGGAGCCTCTGGATCTGTACAGAAAGGAGATCAATTTTCATTTGATTTTTAAAGAATATTATTTAATTTATAAGGGGAAAAATGTTTTTAGGGAGTGAGGGATTTCAAGTAAATATTTTTATTTGACATAGCAGAATGCTAGTTGATGAATAGTTATTTTGTACTCATTTCTTTACTTTCAGCACTAGGGCATTTTTGTAACAATTTTCCATATTGTAAACATTTTTTGGAAAGAATTGAGTTGTAACTGTTTTTTTTCTTCGGTATTCTAATTTTGTTTTTTATTGAACAGTGTTTACTGGTCTTGATTTTTGTTCACATTATTTTTTTTAATGAAGCTGAATGGAGAAGGCAATCTCTGAAATATCCCCTATGACTTTTTGTCATTGTTTTTGACTGTGTATAAGAATCAAGAATCTATCATAGGCCTCTAATTCTATGGGAAATTCTTTTAAGCAAAATGTTTAATAGCCTAGGTATAATATGCTAGCCATGTTGTCATTTCATAGCAAGGAACCTGCCTAGTTTGTAGGATCCACTGAAAATGTTATAATTAAGAAATACTCGATGGTTGTGAACTAGGTATCTTCCATGCCAGTTTGAATTGGGAATGTAGCTTTTATCGTTATACTGTACATGCTAATGAACCCATGTATACTACTGTAATTTTAATTTAACCCCATATCTGGTTGAGCCCTGCTGCCCAACATTTCCACTGAACAAAAAGTGTGTAGGAATGCAAGTGTTTGTATGAGAGAGGCTTATTTAGATTTGTAAATTGTTGCAGTAGCAAATGATGTAGAGATTAGAGGCATAGGTGTTCTGCTAACTCACACCTTTACTTTGCAATTCTACCTTAAACTTGTTGTTTCTTTGCATGTTTGGCTTACTCATCATTGTAAAAAGAAAGAAAAAAAAAAATAATGATAATAATTATGAAGATTCACACCCTTCCTTCGCGTTGTTTAGTACAGATTAGAGCGGGTTTGTGCACTGTTGGCCTAATCAGCTCTTGTCAAATTTGTTTTTGATTATTTTTTCTTACTTATCACACATCTTTTAGCCAAAAATGTGTGTGAAGAGTAACTGCAAAATGGAGGGAGAAAATATTGGGGATGGGGAATATGTGTATAGGGCTAACTGTCGACCATATAACCTTTGTAATTAATTACAGTAACATCTACTTTGCAAATTTCTATTGTGCATAGATTCTTTTTCAAACTAGGCCTTTGCAAACTTTTGTTTACTGTACATTTTTAGAGTATACTATCTGGGCTTCATGTAAAGCAATCACAAGACACCCAAAAAAGAGGAGAAAAATAGATAAATATATACACATACAACCCTTATGGCAACAGTGATTTTTTCTGAAAATTCAGGGAATGTGTTATTGAAGTGACACTAGATTGGCTAAACCTAATGCTGCTGGGAGTGGCATAAAGTATGTTCCATGCCCACTGTGAGTTTATTTTAATAATTACCTTGACACATAGATGGTTCTACAAGTATGTTTGGAAAATATTCATCAGTGAGTTGATTGCTAGCGCTACCTTTCGCACTTTTTTACCCATTTCCTTGATTTTGGGGAATTATTTTCTTTTATCATATATTATCATAGTAGTTATAATGTGTATAACAATAATATCATCATCGGTATTGATAGCTTTAGTAAAGATAACATTTCTTCTTGAAGACTCAAGGAAAGGTTAAATCAGTGAGGTCATGAGGTCTACCAATTGACTCCTTGGTGATTGAGCACTTGTGGAGCTATGTAATTTAGACACTCCACTAAATAATACTGCATTTTCACAGTGATATTGTGTAGATAATTGACTAAGTACTTCAAGAGCCATCTATATGCAAAACAAAATTAATCATAGATTAAAATCACAGTTAACGTGGCATGTATACACTTCCTCCCATTGCCAGTAGGTTGAAGTAGACTGCAATACCCATGAAGGATGAGATTGAAAATCTTGTGAATTTAGTAGTAAGCCCTTGAAATGCTTGACAGTGAATGCTATTGCAGTTAGATAAAATCTGATCAAAAGCGGATGTACACATTTGTTGAAATAAAGGGAAAATAGAATTTCATAATCTTTAATATGAACTAGTGCTAGAAATGGAAGAAAATAACGAATTTGCCAGTACATCAGTAGATAGCTAACTCTGTGAAGTAATAGGCAGTAGATTAGCTAACTCTGTGAAGTAATAGGGAATAGCTAACTCTGTGAAGTAATAGGGAATAGCTTACTCTGTGAAATAATAGGGAATAGCTAACTCTGTGAAATAATAGGAAAATTCTGTGTAAGCATTTTCAGAAAAAAAAGAAAGAAAGAAAAAGGTAATATTTTGGCATCAGATTGGTTTCTGTCTTGTTCTCTAGGTGATTGAAGTGATTAGTTATGTTGCAATTTATTTACTAAACATAGTTGTAGTTTGTAACTGCTTAAATGATGATAAAGTCGTCCAGTTATTTTTCTATGTATTAGTTAGGTCCTCCAGATTTTTAAGTGTGTTGGTTCTTTTGGATTTTGCATCCATTTACTTAGGCATTTCATCATTTCCTCAACTGCCAAGGAGTCATAAACATCTTTCACTAACTCTACTTTTGGACAATTTTTTTCCTTCTTTTTTTCAATTATGTATTTGTGTTTTGGGACTCTTGCAAATACCTCCCTTGCCAAAGGCAACTGATGAAAGAACAGTAGGATATAATTGATTAATTATACATATATTTAGACAAATAATGTGAGATTCAGAAATAGGTGCTTTCCATCAGTCTGTGAATAATAGTAGCCACTCATATAGAAGAAAATCAATCTAATGTAAGTTATATTGTGTTGATAGGCCAAAGACTTATCCAGCTTGCAGTAGGATAGGGTCCTTAATCCTTTGGTTCCAGGTGCCTCGCAGTCCACAGGACCAAAATCGAGGCACAAGGCTATCTTGAAGGGCAACTCTCACGGGTTTGTTGCTTATAGGCCTGGTATACACAGACACTCCTGTGCAGCATCCAGACTCCTTGCCTTCCCATTATAATGTTATTCTCTCTTTTTTACTTTGCTGTTTTCCATTATTTATAATTGTCATTTGTTTTGCTTTATCAAGATGGGAATAGTTTATTTCATTGAGCAGACTCCATATCATCTCTCTTGGTAGTCAGCAACTATGTCCTATAACAATAAGTAAAATTGTGCTAGTTGTGTAATTTTTTGTTTATTATTATTTCTGTAATGCACCCTGGACTGCCTGTCACAGTGGGTAGGAATAGGATCCTGAGCATGGAAGTAGTTTCTTCCTTCTAGCCAGGGCATTTATAGCCATGGGTCATGGATAGTATATTCCACCCTCATTTCGTGGTGGAAAAATGCAAGAGTCCCTCCCTAAATGCCCACTGAGTCGAATCTTACTCCAAGTGCACTCATGATAAGTCATTCCAATCACCCGGGCCCTCAGCCAAAAGTTTCCGTGACTGCATATTCGTGTCACATGGAATATGCAGTCACCCCACCCAGATCCTTGGGTTAATGTAGGTACATAAATGTTTTGTAAATATTGTTCATGCATAGATGTCCCCACAAGTGCTGTCACCAGGTAGTTGGTATAATATGATTACTCCATTCCTTGAATTTTTTATAAGAAATTATTTTCTGATGTTACTGTTTCAGAATTAGTGTGTATATTGGCAGTATGACTATCATGTTATTAACAATACTAATTGCACTAAAACCAAATCAAAGAAAGAGGTAAATAGGAGATCTGGCAGGCCTTGTAATTGATTCCTCGATGACTAATACCATCACAAACAAACAAAATTGATAAACTAAAATTGGTGTAGGTATATGGCCTCCTGGCATCTCCACGTTAAGAATAAATCCAAAAGGAGAAAAATTTTTGGTGTCTTAACAGTGGAATTCTTGTTTTATGTGTTTTCTTACTGTGGCTGTGTTTCTTTTTGCTTGATAGCATGATGGATGGCAAAGGAAAAAAAAAAGACATCTGTACTTTATGATATGTGTATAATTATGCATTTTTCCTTTTCTCTGCAGGTGCTTATGACCTAAGCCGACAGGTTGTGTGGATAGCAGTGAGCACATCAATCCTCCTGTTTGCTCCTGTAATGTTTGAGATAGAAAGACTTAATGTAGAAGAGATGATGAAACAGGATAGAAACCGGGTAAGTAGATATTATGTATATTTTTTTTTCCTCTTTTTTTCTAGAGGAGTAATCTCATTAATGAGTGGTAGACTTGTTGTCATAAACTTTATTCCAGTAAATTACCTAATTTCTTAAACAAAAGCTTAAGGATTGGTTGCCATCAAAGGGTCAGAGTAATAATTTATTTTCTAAAGTAAGAATCTTGAAACAGAACACATTAATGGTTATTTATATACCATAATATGACTATCTTGATTCTTGGCCTCCCTGTAACTGTCCATTGGTCATGGAGAGTGAAAGTGACCTGTTAACCTCAGCTTGAAGATACTCAAAAATAAACGCTACACACTATTCATTATAGTAATCTTACCGGGCTGCAAGAAGCGTGACTATTACGTATATCCCCCATTTTGCAGTTTTAACTCCTTTGTCTATTTTGGGAGCCTATAATGCCACTCAGGATAGTTGTTGGGGGGTTGGGGGGTGATTATAAATAATAAAAGTCCCTTACTTTACTTGACATGCTCAAGAGTAACTATCTACCACTTTAAAATATAGTGGTGACATTACTCCCCAGCAACATATTGAATAGGAAAAGGGATTCTCATGCACCTCAGAGAAAGTCACCAAGGACAGACAAAGTCCTCAACTGTAAAGTAAAGCTTGATCCTGCTGTAACAATTCCTGTACTGTGGAAGCATTACTAAGATCCCTGTTTCATCTATCAGGAAACCAGAGACGTTACCTGTTCTATTGCAACTACTCTGTCCAACTTGGATGGAGGAGCATACTAGTCAGAAAAAAATATTTGATACCCCCGTAGAACCCTTTCCAATTTTTCCAGACAAGTCATTAACTCAGGCTCCCAGAGAACAGACAAAGTTCGAAAAGATGGGTTAGTTTGTAAAGAAAAGAAAATGTCAGATTTTTTCATGAAATCCTTCAAAGAATCTGCTAAAAGTATTTATTACAGTGAACTTGAGGATGTACATAACTGTTTTTGTCTGGTAATTTCTTTTAACACAAAATTGATAATGACATTCAGTTTCTTTACCAACTGAGCATTAAGTAATTGAGGATTCTGAGCAAACAACTTGTCCAAACGAGTTAATAAGTCATCTGTCTAAACGGGATGAGCAGTTCTGCTTAGATTAAGCATTATTTTCATAGCTTCAAAGGGTATTTTTGGTTCTGATAATGTTATTTCATTTTGAATATTGCTTTTTGATAATGCTTGGTTAATAATTAAATATTCAAGTGTATAGGTGACTACTGATATTGCATTAAGAATGTTTAAAAACTCTGAATACATTTATCACCTCATTGGTTAGAGCATTGATAGAGCATTAAAACTGATGTAGTGCTTATAAAAAAGTTTAACCATTAAATGATGTAGTGCTTATAAAAAAGTTTAACATTAAATTGAGGTGAAATTAATGTGCTAGACAACGGAGGTCATGTAGCACTATAGGAGATACAATTAACTGGAAAGGGTAGAGATCGGGATGGGTTGTTAGTAAGGTATTATATGTTAGTGGTTATGGAGTAGTAGGATGGTACTTAGAGGATTAATATAGTTGGGTAGAGGTGAAGGGGTGAGTGATTGGGTTAAGTTAGGATAAAAGGGAGGGGATTAGATCCAAGTGGAGGATGTGTATGTTTTTGAGGAAGGAGAATAGGTTTTCTATGTAAAAAGTATGGGATTAGGATGTTTGATAGGTTGGGAGGTCATTGTAGGGAAGATAGGTGAGGAAAAACAGCAGTTCGGGTTGTGGTGAAACGTGGGCATGAAAGCAGGATGTGTGAAACTGAAATGGGAACATTACAGGAGAAACATAGGGGTGGGTCTGATCGTGACATGAGGTATGAGTGGGTAAGGCGTTTATGGCTGATGTGTAAGTGGGCTAGCGCTGTTTCCCAGTGTCTGTTTTTATGGAAGGAAATTGACTAGGAGGAGATTGTTGGTTTTATTGAATGTAATTTATTGGTGGCAAGACTTGTCCAGCAGGTTTGCCATCGTCTTAGTTTTGAAATGAGGGTAATAACCCCAACTTCTCAAAAATCCCAGCCACAGATTATGTGATGTGGACTTTGTGGCTGAGCGAGCTTGAGTGTTTGCTCTTTCATTGCCTGGTACTCCTATATTGCTAGGTACCCAGCAAAACTTTATAGTGTTGTAGCATGTGTACAGGTAAAATAGCTAGTCTTGAATTTTGCAGACAAGGGGGTTAGTTGAGGGTATGGATTTTATGAGCGTGAGTGAATTCCAAGAGTCGGTAAAAATAGTGAAAGAGGAGGAGGAGGAGCCACAGTATATGTGTTTTAAGGTGAAGAGGATTGCATATAATTCTGTAGTGAGAACTCTAGACTCGGGAGGTAGAGGTATTTAAATGTGTAGGTTGGGATGCTTATAAAAAAGCAATACCTTAAATATAAAATTGTTTTCATTCAAACACTAATTTACAGATGATGCTGTTTGGTATGGACAGTAGTTAAGTTCCTTGTATCTTTTCAGCTTGTTCTTGGTCCAGGCTCAGCAATGTCAGGTGGACCTCCTGCAGCTCCAGGACTTATGCCACCCCCTCCTGCTCGCTAATAGGACTGACTCCACCTCTCTTGTGCTCATCAGTCCCCAGTTGTTATTATTTCTGTAGACTTTTTGAATGGCTGTGTGGATGCATAGAACTGTGGAAATATTATTTTAAGCCATTTCAAGTTAATATGAAAGTAAGTGTAATGTCATCCATGAAATTGTTTTTGACCACTGAAATTTTGAATTGCCAGGTAGTGTATTAAGTAATGTGGTCGCTAGAAAGATATGAAATAAACTGAAACTGTACAATACATTGGACCAACAGTTATAGGTAGCTTATTTTTCCACATTCTTCCTGGATTATTTGTTGAGAGTGTATCATTGCAAAATAGTGTCTGTTACATTGTATAGTGTTATATTTTCCTTTACAGAGGAAAATCACTTCAAAAAAGTAATGTTTACTAAACTTCATATTGATATGAATTTATTTACTGGAATGGCTTGTATGTATAGTAAATTTATGTATGTGCAGTTACTTCATTTGTACATATGTGAATAAACATAACCTATTTTTAGGTGTTATGTTACAGTATTTATACTGTTAAATCTTAAGATGTCCAGGATTGATACCTGAATGTACTAAAAGATTGATAGATAGACTGGTAGTTGATTGGTAGTGGTGTATTTACTTGTGTTCTTTTGAAATAAATATGTAGACTTGGACATATGATATATGTTAACAGATTTTTTTGTATAAAGAATTAATCAGAAGAGATGCTGTTGTAAACTGCTTCAAGCCAATAAATTTGAAAAGGGACTTTGCTTATTTTTCAACCAAGTCATACTTACTGTTCCTTTATATATATATAATATATTTTTTCTACTTAGCCCTCATTTGTATGTTTGTGTATGGGAAGTGTCTTGTAATAATAGTTATATGACAGTTCAGTGCAGAAATATTACAAGGTACTATACACAGACTTTATAACAGTATAAACATATTAACTACACAATATACTGTAGATAAAAGACTATTTACAGGAATTTTGTTTCTAGAAGAAATACTTCTTTAGATGATACTACAATTCATATATGAAATAAGGGACAGTATATTTATACAGATATGTATGTATAGATACCTTGTATACATTAAAAACTGGTTCATAGTTTCTCAATTATTTTATGAAATTTTATTTAACCTTACTTACTTGAGTGAAGTATATTGTATTATATATGGTAATGGAACACTGATATCATAATTTGCATTTTTTCCAATTCAAAATGCTGCTGAAACATGATTGATTATTCTAGCTGCTTGAGACTACACCATTTTTCTCTGAACCTCCGTACGAAGTTCTCTTCTTGTGAATGTGTCCAACATGACCTGTCTTATTCTATTACCTCCAAACTAATGTAGGTAAGAAGAAAATTAATGGTTAGGAGGTAACACTAGCATTATTTTTTTGTGTGATTATTGATGTTGGAGAAAGTGATGATGAAATGATAGATGGGTTGCTGGTAAAATTTGACAGGTGCAGCATGATCTTGGGAAAAAGCAGGTACAGTCAGATGTTACAGGAAATATGAATTATGCATAAAATATCTGGCAGTGAGAAGTTTTACTAAAACTACTTGAGAAAGCAAGAACAATAATGTCATTTTTGGTAATAACAGGTATAATAACAAGATTGATTAGATGATATTGTGGAAAATGAGATTAAAATATAACTGAAGAATCAGTCAATTTACATGAGATCAGCATTTCTTATGATTATAAATGAATATTCAGTAAACATGGATAAAATATCTACATAAAATTCATGAGCTCAGAAAATAAGAAGAGATAAAATTTGAAAAAAAGTATATAAATGCAACAAGCATATTGATATCAGTTAGTGGAAAGTGTGAAAAAATTGCAGAGGCAATGATCTAGATCAAAGACAAGCAAAGAGCAATACATCAACTTTTGGATTCTTAATTAGTGCAAAGTTGATCCAAAGAAAATTTTAAATTTGGATCTGGAAGGTAATGTTTGAAAAAAAAATTAGTTTCACTTACAGGATAAAATGTTCAGTTGTGTTTATCAAATGATTTTATGACATTGGCATCCTAAATAAATTAAGAATTAATATCTCAAATATCTAGTGATTTGAACATTGTTGTCTTTATCACAATGATTTTAATTTCCATATTCATTATCATTACCATCACCAACACCATTACCATCATTACTATTACTATTTGTTAAATGTTTATTGTTAATCATTTATCCTTATCATCATTATCACTTCCATCAACATGATATGAATATGAATGCGGCCATGAGCATGAATATCAACATGACCATTGTTATTATCTAGAATAAAAAAGGATTATGATCATGATAACATGTGATTGCGATAATGATTACAATAACAATGATGAGGGCAATTGATTGATGATGATGATTGATGACTGACTGGTGATGACTGATGACTGACTGGTGATGACTGACTGACTGACTGGTGATGACTGACTGACTGACTGGATGACTGACTGACTGACTGGTGATGACTGACTGACTGACTGTGTGATGACTGACTGACTGACTGACAGACTGACTGACTGATGACTGACTGACTGACTGATGACAGACTGACTCACTGACTGACTCACTGACTGACTGACTGATGATGATAAAAATAATGGCACAATAATGGTACTGCTGATATTGACGACGGTGACGATGACAATGATGATGATGATGAAAAGCAGCAGAACAATAACAATAACAACAAACTATAAAAAACGAAATAAACGATAATAATAACATTAATAATGCAATTTATAATAATAATAATGGCGATATGCTAATGCCTGCTAATGCTAATAATAATAATAGTAATAATAATAATTATCTTTATTCATTATCATAATAATAATAATAATAATAATAATAATAATAATAATAATAATAATAATAATAATAATAAAATAATAATATAATAATAATAATAATAATAATAATAATAATAATAATAATAATAATAAAAATAAAATAATAATAATAATAATAATAATAAATAATAAGAAGAAGAAGAATAAGAAGAATAAGAAGAATAAGAAGAATAAGAAGAATAAGAAGAATAAGAAGAATAGAAGAATAAGAGAATAAGAAGAATAAGAAGAATAAGAAGAATAAGAAGAATAAAAGAATAAGAAGAATAAGAAGAATAAGAAATAAGAAGAATAAGAAGAATAAGAAGAATAAAGAAGATAAGAAGAATAAGAAGAATAAGAAGAATAAGAAGAATAAGAATAAGAAGAATAAGAAGAATAAGAAGAATAAGAAGAATAAGAAGAATAAGAAGAATAAGAAGAATAAGAAGAATAAGAAAATAAGAAGAATAAGAAGAATAGAAGAATAAGAAGAATAAGAAGAATAAGAAGAATAAAGAAGAATAAGAAGAATAAGAAGAATAAGAAGAATAAGAAGAATAAGAAGAATAAGAAGAATAAGAATAAGAAGAATAAGAAGAATAAGAAGAATAAGAAGAATAAGAATAAGAATAAGAATAAGAATAAGAATAAGAATAGAATAAGAATAATAAGAACAACAACAATAATATCAATAGTAATATTAATAAAAAATAATAAAAATGATAACAATAATAATAATAATGATAATGATGACGATATTATTGATAATACTAATTCTAATAAAAACTGTAAGGTACATGATAATGATAATGATCATAATCATGATGACAGTGATGATAACAAGTGATAATGTTGATGATGACAATAATGATGATGCCAATAAAGATATTGATGGTCGCGACAGTAATGCTAATGATGACAGTAATGGTAATGAAGGCGACGAAAATTATGATAATGATGATGACAGTGATTTCAATGATGACAATAATGATAATGATGACTACAGTAATGATAATGATGATGACAGTGACTTCGATGATAGCAATAATAATAATGACTACAATAATGCTAATGATGACTACAATAATGATGATGACAATAATGATAATGATGACTGATTTCGATGATGACAATAATGATGATGATGACTACAGTAATGATAATGATGAGGACAGTGATTTCGATGATGACAATAATGATAATGATGACTACAATAATGATAATGATGACTACAATAATGATAATGATGACTACAACAATGATGACGATGACAGTGATTTCGATGATGACAATGTCAACGATGACGATGAGTATTGAAGATGACGACAATGATGACAACATCGCAACAACGATTGACACGATAAAAAAAAATCTTGATCATCAAAAATATCACATAAATCAACGTTCCATTATCATATTTTTTACGGTACCAAATTATTTATTTTTTTCGTGACTGTGCCTGTGTCACTGTTTCGTCACGGTTCGAAACAGGGTCGTTAGGGAGTGATTGTGCGTTGATAATTATGTTCCGAATTCATGTTTAACGTCGACATAATGCTGCAATGGGAGCATGCATAACATATGTTGGAGGAATCGTATAGGAACGTAGGGTTTGGTGGGAGTATGAGGTATGTGGCGGATAAAAGAATGTTTCATTTGGTATGAGTGTCATTATGTGGGGTATTCGAGGTCATTATGAGGTATGTGGTGGATTCAGGTCATTATGAGGTGGATTGCATTATGTTGGTTGAGTGTGAGATATTTGGCTGACTAATATATATATATATGTATATATAATATATATATATATATATATATATATATATAATATATATACATATACATACGTACATATATACATATACATGTATATAAATTTATATACATTCTCTCTCTCGCAATAGGGAGGGAAATATATGTAACTGACTTAGTATGTAGAGTTGGTATGAATGTGAGGGATGTAGATTTGGTATGAATATGAGTTATATAGATTTGGTATGAATGTGAGGTATGTAGATTTGGTATGAATGTGAGGTATATAGATTCGGTATGAATGTAAGGAATGTGCCGGATTATAATACATAGATTTAAGGTGAATGTAAAATATGAGGCGGACTATTGTATGTAGATTTGATGAGAACGTGAGGCATGTGGTGGATTATGTTGCATGTGGATTAATGTGAAGGTAATATACTGACCACGAGTGAATGTGACATAGTTCTGCAGTCAATTAAGGATGAAAAATCAAAAATAGTGTATTTGGGTATCAAATATATGATATAGTGATGTTTATGTGGATAAATGCGTATATCTGCAGCAGATCTAGATAAGTGTAACGGTATAGTGATATCGTATTGCCGTAAGTGAATGAAACATCGATATTATAGTGATGTCGCGGTATAGTGAGGTAAGTACACTGTGACACTGTGGTTTAGGTAATGTATTTTGGAGTGAAACGCGAGATATGATTGTATGGTTATGTTGAGGGGTTTGTATGTGCATGTTGACGGCGTAGATAACCGAGACTATTTGAGTGAATAAAAATTTGCTGACGTGATTTGGCGAGGTTTGTGCGCACTGACGCCATATTCAAGATAGCGAATATTTGAAGTGAACATAAATCTGACTGGGTGGTATGGTGAGGGCGGTATGCGGTTACGGTTAACTGGATAGATGTATGTGTTTGAATGAAAGAAACACGATGTCGCTGTGTGGTGTATAGGTATGGTGATACGTGGTATGGTGATGCGAGGTATGGATGGAGGTATGGTGATACGAGGTATGGTGAGGTTGTAGCGGCACAGTGATGATGTATTCGTATGGTGAGAAGTGTATGGGCATATTGATGGATGAGACACGGTATGGTGGTATGTTGAGAGCCAAATATGCATACTGATG